TTGCCAGGCTTTATGCTTTCAGAACCTTTGTTTGAGCTCAAAGTGAAATTGAAAATTTACTTTAAATTCAACCTGAACAAGTTCTCAGAAGGGAAGCTGTAGTTTGCCATCATGGTTAGCTTTCACCTATTTAGGAGCACACTATCACTTCTGCATGTCTTGCATTTCATTTACTACCTCTCTAATTATTTATTATCTCTTACTTAACCAGAGCTAAGAGAGAGCAAAGAGAGATTGAAAGTTGCAAGATAAAGCTTGTGAAGCCTTAGGAATTACCTGGATTACTGACTAATTGCTCATACAGGCTGGTCTTTATGTAAATCACAAGTATAGCCAGATGAGACTTGACTAATCTAACATACAAAGACTATGATTCACTTAAGCACTAACCTTTCATGTCTTGTTTCCTCCCCCTGAGGAAGTGAACTTTTCTGTTAGCAGTTTGTCTCAGAGCGTGCTGTATCATACCTTTAAAAATGATAGCATGGTAGAGGTAGCATCATGGTTTTGGGCTGTCCTTGGGATCTGGATGGCCTGTAGCCATTAACAGAACATTTCATTTAAAATTTATATCAAAAAATGTTCTCAGTGTAAGAACAGAGGAGCAGTTCATGACCCGGAGCTTCAAGAAGTTGGGTAACGCAGCCAGACAGTGACTCAAAGCAAAAGTAAAACAACAGAGTGGTTCAAAAAGAAGAATTTTTGGGGAGTGATGCACAAACCGCAGTCCTGACCTAGTTGAAATTATGTAGCATGACCTGGAAAGGGAACAAACAAATATATATGAACTGAAACGGCTCTCTTGGAAGGAATGATGCAGAATTCCTCCCAATCATTGTGTTGTGTTAGTCCCACAAGCTGTATGTGAAACACATGGTCAGGTCTTTACTGCTACTGCTTAGGTGGTTAAGAAATTCTGACATCCTGGTAATTCCAAAGCCTTTTTTTTTCTTGCAACTTGGTTTTCATAACTGATCAGCGTAAATTCACACACATGCAGCCACTTTTCATACCTAACTCTCCTTATCAGATCTCCCAGTATACTGGTCAGAACTGCCGTTCAGCATACATCCAGTATGCAAATACCCCCTTGTGTTATCTTTGGCCACAGCACACAATGGCTATCTGTACTCTAAATGGGTTTGCATGTCAAGGGATCAAGTCATTATGGATCATTTGTGTTGGCTGGATTGAGCCCTTCAAAGAAAAGACCCACTTTCCACAACATCTGTGCAAAAGCCTGCCTTTGGTTATTATTCAACCCGTGTGCAAGTCTGTTGCCCTAAGCTGTGGTTAATAATGCTAAAGCTCTAACCTTGCTCTAATGACATGTGTTATTAAGTGTTGGTGCTTTTCTAAGGCTTCAAACACACTCATTTTCAACCTCAGACAAACAAGTGTATTAAATTAGAATCGTAAGTGGCAAGTTAAACTGATTACATGCTAGGCGCTTTGTGATTAGTAGGCTAATTTGGGTTTGGCAGGATACTATGAAAGTAGTAGCTCAATGGGATTAAGAGGAAGGATTGTCCCTGAGGATGGAAGTGCAAAGAGCAGCAGGTTCTCCATTGATGTTGGCATTGCATTGATCTCTACCTCCTTTTTTGTGCTTGCAGACTTCCTGTTTAAGTTCCTGGTGATTGGCAGTGCTGGGACGGGGAAATCCTGTCTCCTCCACCAGTTCATTGAGAACAAGTGTAAGTTCTAAAACGCTGCATTTCTAAAGTTTAATACTGTGCAAACACATAAATGGACACGTTCCCGAAATTATTGTAGTCAGTTTCACGAGTTGCATATTGACTAAACCGTTAGTCTGCGGATGATCTGGAGAAAATTCTTCATTGACTGGTATGAGTCAGAGTACAATGGCAGGATGATGTGGGCATTTGTCGACCCAGAATAAAACCAATCACCACAGTTCTTTGCCTCACACTGTCCTTCAGAAAGAGAAAATATTCTGTGTGGTTAAATGGGGGGAAAAAAATTATACTTCCTGTAGACTTTCTCTAGCTAACAATGGCCGAGTTTACACCGAGCTTGATGCTCTCATTATATTGTTAAAATTCTCCATATGAAACATTAATTCGTTTAAAATACAAATTGAAACGTCAATTCAGTTTCAAAGGGGTAGTTTAAAAAAAACAAACCATGTCAACACTCCTCTATGTACAGAGTCGTGCTCATGATTACATTTAATTTGATTAAGATATCTCAGGGGTCCCTGTGGATAGAGAAAGAGAGGCTGGGCAACTTGGCACTGTTAATCTAATTTGCAACTCCCTGTTGCCCATATGTGGATATGAGGTATTTGCAAACAGCAGCAGAGGTCTTTTAAATAAGCCAAACACCAAATATTACACATGTAGATTCCGAGTTACAAATGTAGCCTCTATTATAGCAGTGGATCCATAGCTTTGCAAGGGATAAATACATAATGGCATAATTACAAGGACTGCACTGTAGTTTTTTCGTTTGTTTTCCTGCTCCTTTATGTATATTTCACGTTGTGCCTTTTTTACACTGTCTTCTGTTTGTTCCTACTGCAGTTAAACAGGACTCCAACCACACCATCGGTGTGGAGTTTGGGTCTAGAGTGGTCAACGTTGGAGGAAAGACAGTCAAACTGCAGATCTGGGATACTGCTGGCCAGGAGCGATTTCGGTATCTACCTTCAAAATTTACCTAAAGGCACAAGTCCCAGCTCCACTGGGATAAGGAAGTGTCTGACTGATGATAACTGTTAAAATGATTGGACAGTTTCTCCTGTCAAATCTCACCATCTGATCTTTTAAAGGAGCCTTTTGTTTTTTTCCTCCATTTTCTCCGCAGGTCTGTTACACGCAGCTACTACAGAGGAGCAGCTGGAGCACTTCTTGTCTACGATATTACCAGGTAAAACAACCACTGAGCTCGTGCTCCCACTTCCTTTTCAGAAGTTTCTCTAGCAAAGTGAGCTTTTTTGTTTGCTGTGATAATGGGATGTAGATACTACAGTTGTACCTTAATTTTCCCAGAATAAAAACTACATGTTTACTAAGACTCCCAGAAGCAACAAAATGTAAGGTGGTATTTGGTGTGGGCATTGGCATCTGTGATTAATTGAAAATTTTAAATGTGGCTACAATTAAAATGAAATTTTACAGACTTAACTGGAGGCTTAGTTTATTTTTGAGTGTTCATACTGTTTCGAGTCCATATAGCAACTAATAAAAGGAGTCACATTGTGCCTGTACAGCCTCCAGAAATCGTGCTGCTTAATGACAGACCACTCACATTACTGTATTTCATAAACTCTGGGTCGTAAAATCAAGATGGATTGAATGCAGTAGTTTGCTTTTAACAAACTATGGGCTTTTGTTGAGGGGAGGTGGAGTGCGGACTGTCAAGAGCTGTAATATAGAGGCATCCTCTGTCAGGTAGCGTCTGTAGAGGAAAGCAGAAGTCCATCACAGATGGTGTCACCTGACACATTCTCGCACAGGGAAACAGACAAGTGTATACAATGAAACTAGAGCTACAGCCTCATGCTGAAAACAAACTGAAACAGAAAATTGGGTAAATAACATGAATAAAATATGTCTTACAGTCGAGAGACATACAATGCTCTGACTAACTGGCTGACAGATGCACGGACACTGGCGAGTCCCAACATTGTTATTATCCTATGTGGCAACAAGAAAGACTTGGATGCAGACAGAGAGGTGACCTTCCTTGAAGCTTCACGCTTCGCTCAGGAGAATGGTAACTTATCTGTACATTGATGCATTTCAAATGCTTTTTTCCCCACTCTTAGAAGTATTCTTGTTCTTCCACACACAGAGCTGATGTTTCTAGAGACTAGTGCGCTAACAGGTGAAAATGTCGAGGAGGGTTTTTTGAAGTGCGCTCGCACCATTCTCAACAAGATAGATTCAGGTACACATTGTTTTCTTTGTTATAGAAGTGTATCTGAGGTGGATGTTTTTTGTTAGAATTTAGTGACATTTCCATGTTTTGTTTTGTTTTAATGCTTTCAGAGCTTGAGCGCATGAAGTGATGTGGATCTGACATTTTTAGAGCATACATGTCTGTGTCACTGATGTTTCTCATTGTGCTTCTCTCAAAGGCGAGTTGGACCCAGAGAGGATGGGTTCAGGTATTCAGTATGGAGATGCTTCGTTGAGGCAGCTGCGACAGCCCAGAGGCACCACAACACAGAATAAGCAGCAGTGTAATTGCTAGGGGTCGGGACCCACCCTAACCCCAGCCCACAGGCCCACACAGACAGAACTCCCCCTACAGGTCAGTAACTTGTTAACTAAGGATGGGTATTGATACGATTTTCACGATTCCGATTCCATTTTTGATTCTGTTTAACGATTCGATTCTTTATCGATTCTCTTATTGATTCTTTTTTT